GGCTTGTTTATCCTTTTTTTTTTTTGTTCTCTCAATTAACTGAATACTGCATTTTCCCAATTTATCTACCGTTATTTAAGGTTATGTTTTAAAAAGAAAACAAACGGTGCAAATGTTTGCTATTTTAGAGGAACAAAATTGGAGGAGTTCCGCTTTTTTACCATGACGAGGAGTTTCACGTTCTATATCTAAATCCTATATGAAACATCTTTATTCACATAATACTTGTACAATAAATTCCTAAAGATGCTATCTAATTCCTAAATCCAATTAAAGCTGCTAGGTCTCTCAAAATGCTATATATAATTGTCTTGCGGCAATATTGGAAATAATTGTTTCTACAACATACGGTGAGTTACTAATAGACAATTTATTATTAGATTGTAACAAATAACAATAATTTATTATGAAATGAACGTGTTTTTACAAGAAAATGTGTTAGCAAGCAAGTGGGGAAGTGTTACTTGGGCAAAGAAAGAGAAGCTAGAAAGGCGAGAGTAAAGGGAGAAGTGGATTTTCCAAACAAAGAGCAAAACGGAGGAAGTTTTTGGAGGACCCTTTGGACTTGCGGAGTGAGACGATCGAAGTCAGTTCTGAGTTTCAATAGAGGTCTTTGCTTCTTCTCATCAGATTCTTTCTTCTTTTTGTAAAGTTTGAGAACAAAGCTCGTGGGCGCCTTTTTCCCACCTGAGAACTGAATTTGGTGCCATCCTTCGCCGCTGCTTTTCTCACCTTGAGCTATCATCAACTCTTCATTCTCCCCACTCCCTTGCAGTGTAAAATCTTCTAGTTCCTCCATGTCGATGCCGAGAGTCCAACGTGATGAGCCTCCTGAGTCCATTGAAACCGTTGTGACTCTTCTTTCATTTTCTTCTTTGTCGTTTATGACACGCAAAACTGGAACATCCTGGTTGTCCCATCCAAGCCCTGCATCATTCTCGGTCACACAACTGTATTTAGCTTCAAAACTGACAAAATCAATTTTATTCTCTCTGCCACATCTGAACCCTTCTTTAATCAGCTCTGCTTCCATGTTGAGGTTTCCGGGAGTGTTTGAAAACAGGGATATGAACGAGATTTGATCTGGCCCACTCGTATCCACAACATGTACCACCTGCAAAGCTCACACCGGAACACATAGGATCAATGATTGAGATCGACTAAAACTAGKAACACAAAAAAAAAAGGAAAAGAAATTCCTCTGAAACGAGAATCAAAGAGACTTACATTTACTGCTCTTGCAGTATCCTCATTGAATGCAGGAAGAACACCAGAAGATACAAGGGAAAGAGAGAGGGCAGTGATACCGCATAACAAAGTGACAATCAATGTTTTTGCAGCTGGATACCATAAGTTTGTAAGGAATTATTATGCTTGGTCAACTTAAAGTTAGTAGTTATTATGATAAGTACCAAACAAAAAGTTCTGAGATAGAACATTACCAGAGAGATGAATATAGGCCAGCAGATATACCATAGTCAGACTTATGAAAGTAGCAATAACAACAGCGATCAACGCACTGCCTAGCCATTCTGGAGTTCCACCTGGGTTCCTACACACCAAAACACCCAAAACAACAGCTACAATATAAGGTCTGTTGAAGCTAAGGAAAAAAAAAAGAGATTTATAGAAGAATTGATTCCGATTGATGAATTTGTATGCCTATTCTTTCTTGTTTTTAGCAAGTGTTCATAACTGAGCCAATTTGGTTATTTTCTTCAGCACAATGATTCGCATTTTTTTCATCAGCCATGTTTACTAAAACTGGTCATCTGCTAACTAAAAACTAACTAAAGCTGCAAGTATTCATTTCAATAGCGTACTCCAGAGTATATTGGGAACGATTTTATTTCACTATCTAAGTTTAGGCAAGAGAATTTTAGCATGATTACGATGGGAACAGGAAGTTGAACTCTCTTTATTCCTCAAAGGAAGGAAGAACATGAAGAACCAGTTCGGTAAATCGATAACCAAAAGCAGTTATGGCTTGTTTTAGAGTCCCTAGTCTTTCCCAAATTCCAATGCTCCCAAACACAAAATGATTGAAAGGCTCCCAATTTGTTCTCCTACCACATATATATACACTATTCACTATTGTTCATCCATATGAATCAAGCATCTCACAATCTAGTGCCTATCAGTTTACCTGTCAAATCGAATGAGCATGCCGATCATTGTGCCACTTAACCGGATAAAACTGCCAGATGATACCAAAATTGGTACAGCCAGTCCGGTAAGGAGGGTTGCAAGTTTGAGAGGCTTTGGCGATCGGATTGGAGTTAAAGTCGCCTCGAGCATACCATCTGGACAACCATTAGGTTTGATAAGTTAAACTTAGGACAGAGCTAAAGGTAAACACTTTTTTAAACGTCTTCAATGAATATGTTAACCTGAAATGAAATTAACATCCCTCGTTTAATAAAACAGAGCCAAAGAAGATTGCCTTACATGCAAATGCAGGTGGAACTAGCCAGACCAGGGCAAGGTAAGTTGATCCAAGTCTATAATAGGTTCCCAATGCCAGAAGAAGAAGCCACTGTATAAAACCCGATTTAAATAGCCATCTTTCAGCCTCCAGCTTGGCCAAATGATCCAATACTCTTGGTGAGCCTTGCGTATTGTTTGAATTTCTTTTTGGTGATCTCTTCCAAAGGAAGATAAAGGCCACATGCTGACCACTTAGCGACCCCAAAACCGCAGGCGACACAAACAATCCAACTGCCATCCATGGGTTTGAAGCATACGGCACAGGTGATGAAGAAATCCACGGCAGTATGAAGGCAACAACTACCGAGAAAGCTACTGAGAATATCCATGAGAGGATGATACTCAAACAGGACAAAATGAGAGACACAACAGCTGGATAACCACCCATGAACAAGGACATAACCCATATAAGAGTCGATTGCATGATTACTGAAACATAGAGCATTGTCCCAAAACTTTGCCGGTAGACAATCATATACTTCCCCTGAAAGTTGACATAGAATAAAGGAAAGACATTAGGGACCACATAAGAAAAAACTATGTAAGCTTATATTTTAAAAGAAAAGAATGGCAGAATAGCTAGTTCTGAAATCACCAAAATGTCAAAATAAACAGCTGAGTCTCCCTGGAGTGTTTGATCTGTTGGCAGATCCGAAGATGAAGCAACCCGAAGAAGGAAAGGAAGTACATTTTCCCCAAGATGCTGGAGCGATCCTGGTTTTATTAGTTCTAACTTATCATTCTGCAGCGCAAGCGATAAAACGTTAGTCATCCAAATCAGGAT